TTCATACCAGAATCAGAACCCTGGCCTCAGTGCTACAGAGCTGCAAGAGCTGGACCATGGTGCACTGTGAGCTGTCCAGGCTGTGAGCTGCTGAGAGCCTCCCTGCATCTGCTGCTCTTCATCTCCTTCCTACCCACACCTTCCTGGCATCCTCCATGTAACCTGTATCAGGAAAAGCAGCCTAGGGGAGCATGTCAGAGTTGCAGCTGGCAGGCCTGAACCTGGGACAGGGTACACCAGCAGAAACCCTGCAGCTGAAGCAGTGAGGGCTAAGCATGCTTTGCTGGTGGGGCTGGGTAGTCAGAGAAACCTTAATCAGCGAAGGTTTCCCCTGATGCTCCCTCCAGTTGCAGGACCCTCTTTGCAAAATTGCACATGAAGAACAATGCACTGTAAGTGAAATATTACTTTCACTAGAGAAATCAACAGAACCCTGGTCATGGTCCCAGCACACTGGGGCTGTGTCCCTGGGGGAAAAGAGCCTACTCCTGGTGGAGCACTGGGATAGGCTCCCCAGGGAAGCAGTAATGGCACTGAGCCTGACAATATTCAAGAAACGTTTGGACAACACCCTCAGGGACATGGCGTGAACTTTGGGGTTGTTCTGTTCTGGGGTGGGAGTTGGACTTAGTGATCCAGGCTGTCTGAGGAGGTGGTTGAGCCACCATCCCTGGAGACATCTAAAAAGATAGATGTGGTGCCAGGGGACAAGTTTTAGTGGATGTGGCAGAGTTGGGGTAGTGGTTGGACTCGATGATCTTGAAGGTCTTTTCCAGCCAGAATGATTCTGTGACACTGTAAGTGCAACTGGGACCTCATCTCACCAAGTCATGGGCACCTACCTCAGCTGGCTCAGCACCAGGGGAATAAACATCTGCCTATCTCAGCCAGCAAAATCAAAGAAGTGCAAGGATTTCTCTGTAGCTTGAGCAGGTAATTCTGTCATCATGGAAAATACAGCAGAAACACAAGCATTCCCGTATTAAATATTCACTATAATTAAAAGACAATGTTACTGGGATTTGAGCAGCCCGAGGAACTCCAGAGTCATGTGGTTCCCCAGTGGAAAGACAGGCTGCCCACTTTTGGCAGAGAAGCATGTTTCCCAGTGACAGCTTCCCATTATGCTTAGAAATGAGTGAGTTATAGAGAGAGATTATCTATCCACAGTCCAGCAGTGCCATGAATGAAAAACAGATGACATGGTATTAGCAGCTGCTGGTACGTCCCTAGAAACACAGGCACACACAGAGTATATTTTATTGTTTTATTAACTGTCAAACAAGCCTATCTATTTCCCCTCCCCCATTTCATAGCTTTTCCCTAATTCTCCGTGGCAGAAGGTTTCTGGGAAATGCATCTTTTGAACATATGGGCAGATGTGC